ATTACTGTATGCGGAAAGTCATTCAAATCATACTCACCTCCTTTGATTATCGGGCCGGTTGATTATTCCGGTTTTTTGATGGTTCCACAATGCGCATCACCATGCTTAGCATCTTTTCGATCTGTTGACTTTACGTCAACTCGAAAAAATGCTCTGGAAAAATCTCCGGATAAAGTATCGGCTATGCCCCAGATGAAATTTTATTACTCATAAAACTTTTCAAAAGATTAGCCAATACTTTCTAAAGGCGTGTATTATATATAGTCTTAAAATACATTAATTTGGGTTCATAATTACAGTATTCATATTTTACAATGTAGACAATAAAATTCATTTCGCAATAAGTATACTATTTATTTTTATAACAAATACTCTTATGTTTCGCAACACAATCTGCTGAATAAAATAACATACATGAAATATAATAAATAGGTAGAGTTGGAATATTAGTTCCAAATACGTAGTACTTTTTACTTATAGAAAACAGAGTAGAGCTACAAAATCTTACAACTTTCACTTACTAATTGCTTAGATCACCGAAACACCTTCTGATCTTTCAAAACCTTCACCTCTCATTTAGTTTCTCAATCTTTTGCATCCTATTGCATCAGTTGTTAAAAAACAATAGATTTAAAGGTAAAAAAACGATGTGTTAAGTCATCGTAATATTTATGTATTACGGGAAAAAATTTTATAGTCGTGACGTGACTATCTTTACTTATTAAAAAGTATTTTAAAAATTACGATTGATAATATAAAAAAAAGATCTTCACTCAACCAATCAAAATGAACTTCCATTATGCTGATGTACGCAAATCATTTTCCTTTAGTTAAATGCGATGCTTAAAAAAAAATCAATTGTAACTAAATGCTATATCATACATTTAACGAGATAGATTTTTGGCGAAAAGCATGGTCAAAAAATTCTTTTATTTCTTATAGAAGTTACATAATTTTGAGATCAGGCTATATTTCTATCTAGAAAAGTCCACTAAGGAATAATACCTATTGTCTTCTCCTCTGTGGATACAAATTTTCGCTTATAGTCATGTTTAAAACTAAGTATAACTAGTCAGCAAATTAAAATATTAGATTCAGCTTCATCCGTAACGTTTATCGGAGGTTTGAAGTTATTATCTTATTCTAGCTTTGTTGCCTACCGTTAGTTTATTACTTCACCAGTTTTATTATCTATCTCTAATTTTAATTTCTTCAACTTTCACTAATTTTGCTTAAATGCGTGATCGCCAATTAAGCATAGCGAGAGATTAAGATAATTAACTACCGCCACTTTCACCAGTTCGACACTTTATACAAGTTTCGCCATTATGTCTTTTTGATTTTGATTTTTTTTTGCGAAATTAAAAAACATGGGTCGTCTAGCAATTATAATCTAAACATGAACATCATATGAAATATTCAAAGTACTGTTTACACACATCACATGTGATAAAATAATAATGCCAGTTATACCGGTTACCTGCCAAATTATAGTGAGAATAATTTAACTTTCAAAAAGTGGGTAACGACTGCAATCCTATAATCAGCTTAGTAGCACATATACGTACGACTTTAATTTAACACATAAAGAAATACAACGTACGTACGTATGTACGTACGTATGTACGCGCGTACGAACGCATGCGCAAGATTATTGTGTAATACATTTGAATACCATACATAGTAATTTTAACTATGCACTGTTTATTATATTGACAAATTAGAAATCATGATTGATTATTTAAGAATTCTATATTTTTATCATACATAAATTTGCAATCAATTCCTAAAAAGTCATTAAATTGTAACGATAACAATAGCTTCATAATAATGAAATAAAGATAATAAATAGAGAGCCACATTTTGCGTAACTATAATTTAGTTGCGATTGCCTAAATAAGAATTTCATTTGTACATGAAATAAAAAGTTGAAATTTGTGACAAGAGATCTTTGATTTTAATTTTATACAGATTCCCTATCGGATGTTTAATAGCGTAAACCAATTTTCCACTCTTTTTTTTTAATAAAAAAAGAACTTTTTCTGAATATAACTAAGAAATGTCAAACACAGTATATCAGAAGGATGGTAGTGGTAATGATGATCGATGGCAAGAACATGAATTTGAGTTAGGATATGGATTCGAAAATTATGAATCTGATGTTTCGCAATTTAATAATAATAGTCAAAGTAATCAAAATAATAATAATACTATAACGTCACACCAAATTCCACAAAAAACTTCATCAAAACCAAGTATATTAAAAAAATTACTTTGGTTTGTCGATACTGATGTTTCATCAATTACCACCTCCCTTCTAGAAGATGACTATGTTCAAGTAACTTTTCATGTCCACCTCCCACCAAAAATTGAGGATATCTCTCGTGAATTTAAATCAGTAGAAAAAGCATCTCCTTGTGTAATTGGTAATATTGATGAACTTGGTAATTGGGAAAATGTAGTAGTTCCACTTAAACAACCTTATTCGAAACCGTTAAAATTCTATGGTGAGAAAAATAGCACTTATTGGGTGTCTGAACCCGTGACAATTCCGGTGAGAAAATTCAATGAAGGAGAGATTAGGTATAAATATGCAGTGCAAATTGTTGAGAAAGTGGATAAAAAAAGTATTAAAGCTGAGGAAAAGAGGATCAAAGAAGCAGAGAAGAAGGCAGAAAAGGATAGAAAGGAAACTGAAAAAAAGGCAGCAAAGGAAAAAAGAGAGGAAGAAAAAAGGGCCAAAAAGGCTGAAAAGGAAAAAAGAGATGCTGAAAAAAAAGCTGAAAATAATAAGAAATCTGGTGATGATAATATTCAAGAAGGTGAAAATAAGAAATCTGGTTATGATAATATTCAAGAAGATGAAAATAAGAAATCTGGTGATGATAATATTCAAGGTGAAAATAGTAGGGACAATTATGGTAGCTTTATAAAGGGTGACGATTATGATGATGACGATGATAGTAAACCCAAAGGAACTACAAAAGACGACGAAGATGATGATTATGATGATGGAACAAGTAAAGGTGAAGATGTGACCGAGAAGGATAAGAATGACACGAATGATGATAAAAGCGGTAATAAAAATAATGATAAAAATAATAATCATGACGAAACAGTAACAGACAAGAAGTTAAAAGAAAGTGAAAAGTTAGACAGAAAAATAAAGGAAGAGCCTAAAAAGTATTGGTTTCATGAGATTATTCATGATACTCTAAACTATCGTACATTAAATATGAAAGGTGGACTTATTAACCAGTTTGACATGGTGAGACAGATAGATATTGGCAAACGTCCGTATTATAAACGTGTTCACGATTACGAATTCTTTAAAATAATCTGGAAATCACTTTCGTCTGATAACGCTAAAATAAAGCTTAAGGAATATCTAGATATTTTGGAAAAGTTTCCTGATGAAACATTATCAGCCAGTGATGTAAAATTTATCGAGAATGAAATTCGCAACACAACCGATAAAGAAAAACGCCTATTTTTAAGTATTATACTAGGTTATTTCATTATGACACGTTCTAATACATTTGGCAATTACAATTTACTTGGAAAGAAATTTCCGTCTCAATATGTATTTGAATCTATTGAAAAGTTTCAACCTGAAGACTGGTTACCTAATACAAAGGAAATTCTTTTAACAACTCTTCGTGCATCGATTGTACGTGAGGTACAATATGATGAATATTTTTGGGTGAAAGCAATGTTTACATCGGCACATTCATTAGATCCAGATTATAGCTTTTTGGAAAGTGTTTCTAATCAGCAGTTTAACGAAAAATATTCGAAATTGCTCGTTGATTTTTATTTTCCAAAATATGTTACACCTAACATTAACGAAATTGAGTCGGATGATAAATACTCTAAAATCGCCAAGGTGAGCTTGTTCGAAATTATATACATATTATTATGGATTAAAAAATTTAATCACAAACTAATATGATTGTTATTTTTAAAAGTGGATGATAAAAATATGCAGTAATATGAATCAACTATTAAAAGTATGGGGTTCTTTAAAAGAACACATAAAATATAGAGATATATCTCTGCGAAAAATATTCCTTGAGAAAATACAATTCCACATTTCATCAGTATCTGCAGAATCACTAGAAGAACATTTTAATGCAATCCCCAATGATTTCAAATCAGAAGTGGCAGAACAATTCCGAAGAGCCGCATTTGCTTTATTAGAACAAACCTCTACTCATAAATGGACCAAATCCAACGTGGATTATATATATCGCTTATTACTAAATAATCAGTTTGAATGGAACAAAGAACACCATCTTCGAGCGCTTCATATCATCTCTTTATCAAAAAGCAGAATATTATTAGATAAATTTCCAAAATTGCTTAAATTCTGGTTTAACAAATATAATAATACTATTGACTTAACAGAAACAAATAACATTCCAACTATCTGTAAACAATGGTACCGTAGTATACTACATCATCTTAATTTTACTGCTGATGACTGGAAATACGTTTACGATGTGTTTGAAAATCTATCATATATATATGATACGATAAAGAATCGACCAGATATATTAACTAAATTAATCGAAATTGCTATCGATCGTTGTAATCAGTGTAGTGATAGTAGAGTTTTTGGTGCTACTAAGTATATTCACAAGTTCAGCACATTGAGTCAGAGTCTTGTTACGCCATTTGCACAAATGGTGAAAGAAAAACTTTTAATTAGGGATACTGATGACGCATTGTTGCAAAAGATGCAACAAATTTGTGCATGTAAGTCAAATGTTTTGGACGTTCCTAATTTGTAAGTAATCAAGTAATATTTATCGTTTATTTATATGAATACATACTATATTCCTATATTCCTATATCCTATGTTTCTATATGCTAATATACGTATAAATTTATTAAATAGATTATGTGAAGAAATCTTATTATACGTCGTAGAAAAATTGAAAACTTTACATCCTTTACCTGACAAATCCGATTCTGAAATTTCTTCTACTTTATTAATTCTTCTCCGCCATACCAAATTTTGGAACTTGATGTTAAATCCAACCGGTGAAGTTGCAAGATTAAAATCTCATCCATATATTAATCACGCTCAAAATATCATTCTCAGTTTCGAAAACATCTTAATACAAGAATCTATCACATTTTTATTTTTACAAAGATTCCTTCTCAATCAAGATGAAGTGTTGATTCGATTCTTTAATTCTGAAAGAATTAATAAATCAACTCTTACTAAATTAAGGGATCAATGTCAGAATTATTTGAGTAAAATGGATCGTTTACATACTTTCTACACGCGGTTTTGTTCTCAAAATAAAGTTAGTGATCTAAATTCTTTTATTGATGATATAAATGAAAGATCTACAAAGTTGGATAACTTAACTCTTAAAGAAACTCAATCGCCAAATCATTGGAACAAACATAGGATCTCTGAAATTGCTGCAAATATGGTATACGAATTAATCGATTCACAAACATTTAGAAACATTTTTGAAAATGTAATGCGAAATAGAGGAGAAAATGTTTCCATGGAAAACTTAGTCAAAACTATTATACCATTAGTAAACAAAGAATATGAAAAATTTGCACAACAATACAAAACCGAAAATTGGGAAACACTTAAATGTTCAAGCCAAATTGTACTTTGGCAAAGAGTTAACCAAGGAAATGTTAGAAATGAGCTTGATTTTTTGCAAATAAAACAAACTGATCGATTAGTACAAACAATGAAACATATGACTCGATTTCCTACATACGTTGAAAGACTTCGACAATTAAATGAAGTTGTATTAATGTTCAAGGTTTTATGTACTAAAGGTGGTTGGCTTGGTACTATGTTAATGATTCTTGAAAATGAATATTTATGGCTTGGAGTACTCAATGATTTTTTCGTGTATTACAATAAGCATTTATCAAATATTAGAGATGACTGTTGGGAATTAGTTAAAGCATTGTCAATGTCTCATGATTTCATTAAATGGCTTCGATCTATAGCTGAACACAATATAAAAAATTTAATTAATAGTGTAGACGACCAATCTGATGAAAGACTTATTCAGGAAGAAACGATGTCATCATTGATTCAAGTTCATCAAGTTTTGGTACCAGTAATAAAGAGTGATGAAACTCTAACTGTTAAGAGGCTTTTGAGAAAATTGGCATTGATTGTGGAAACAAATCCGAAATTGGGTCAAAAAATTGAATTATGTAATTGCAATAGAAAAGCATTAGAGAATTTGGTTAAAAATATTGATAATAAAACAGAAATCACCCAAGAACGAATTAGCAATTCTGTAAAAAAAGGAAGTTTTACTTTTAAACGGCTTGAAAATGATGACAAATGCAATGCTACCTTATCTTATACAACTCGTATCTTAACTGAAAAGGAAGTCGCGGCTTTAAAAACACAAGTAACAAAGTTTACACTAAATGATCTGCTTGATTTACGAGGACGTGCTCTTTTGATATCAAAACCTGGTATCACTTTGGACGTGGAGAGTCTCGGAGAGGAAGGACGTCGACAAGATTTGGCTAAAAAGATAATGAATGAGTTCGTGCAACAAGTTGATTTGGCACAGGAGATTTGTGAATTGGCTTCAAAATTAATTCAAAAAGGTCATTTTAAGTATAGAAGATTTAATCAAAATGTTAAAGGAATCGGACAAATGGAGGATTTGCTTGATGAATTAAATGTGGCTTTGGAAGAATGGTACTAAACTCTTTTAACTCTACTAAACACTTTCCTTTTATAATCAAGGAATCATTAATTATGAATTAATAATTGGTATTTCATTTTAGGGAAAAGATTATGAACAAAGCACAGGAACAATATTACTACCTCACTTTCTTTCCAGCCAGACATATCTTGGTATTCTATGACTATTTTAGCCAAACTGCTAAAGATAAAGAAGCAAACATTGAAGAATGCAAGGATCTTATAAAATTTATAAATAATAATGTCGAATTGCCATCACCAGATGTAGTATTAAATAATATACTTAATAATAACGCGCT